AAAACAAAACAAAACAAAAAACTGTCCTGTACAAATTAGAGCACTTTGCTGATGAGCAGTGGGTGAAAATCAAAATAGCTGTCAACATGTGCAGAAGTCTGATGGAAATTTTATTTTATTTTTTTTGTATTTCTGTTGAACCACAGTTTAAAAGCAATGTCTTGATTTTCCTTTTTTAAAATTTATTAATTATTACTTTTGTCAATTTCAACTTATGTCAGTGACAGCTATTTTTTTTCCTTCTTTATTGGGAAGGTATGAATACATCTGAGGACGACTGTATGTCCATATCTCTTGGCACATGATTCATCCAATCTGCAGATCTGTAAAGAAAACCCTCCCTACTAACATCTCCCGCTCCCTGGATGTCAGTCCTTTTCCTTTATTTAGCTGCTATATGCTGCACCTGCTGCCATTACCTCGTAGGGGGATAGTATGCTTATCAGTGTGTAGTACTGCCAGGTACCGTTGTCTGAGTGTCGTAGGTGTGTTTGTGTGTGTTTGTGTGAGCAGCCGCATTCCTTCTATCTGACGTGGCCTGGCCTCCCTGAGTTCAGTCCTTCAGGGCCTGGGGCTGAGGCTCGAATCCTTCTATAACACAGACACCCTTTGTCATGCATTAGTACGCGTTAAATGGTGTCGGCGTCAATGCTAAGCTAGCAGTGCTTTTACAAAATAATATTTTCCAACGACGCCCTTCAAACTGTCTGGCTAGTTTTGGCATTGAAAGGGTGAGTCTGTGACCAACTGTTCTAACTATTGGATGAAAAGTGCTTCAGACGTTTAACTTTGGTGACCTTGTGACTTTTTTTATGCAGCACTGTCAAAAAGTCAACATTTAAATTGATTTAAAGCTGTGAATAAATTAGCATCGATCTAGTGCTAATTAGCAAATGGTAAAATGCTAATAATATAAGAGTGAGCGTGCTAGCTGTTAGTCATGTTAGAACTGTTGTCTTAAACCCATTTCCTGCACGTTTGAACAGACACACTAAGGATGAGCTGCAGTACGTGAAGGATTTCGAACCTGAACGAGATGTAGTGACACAAATCCGAGTTTTGCTCTTCGGGTCAATCGGTCACGGAAAGTCCAGCTTCATCAATTCTGTCAGCTCTGTCGTACGAGGGAGAATGGTGGACACAGCTTTGCCAAGTTCAGCAAACTACGAAGGAACCAGTTTCACCAAGAAAGTATGTAACCTCTCCTCTGTTGGCTCTGACTCGATGTGTTTGACCCACTTTCAGGTTTCTTTCATATCTGTATGGCGGTCACTTTACATTTGCTCCTGCTGAGCTACAAGACAAGATAGAGTATAAAAAAAACAAAAAAAACAATCAGTTTCAACATCATATGTAGTTGGTTTCTGAATTTTCTATGATGGAATCATTGAAACACGTCTTGCATGTATTTTTGTTGGTTTCTGAATTTATTTTTTGGTCGTCTGGAAATAAGACTCAATCTGCTGGGTCACAAATGTAGAAAT